AAGAGAGATTATAAATCAATTACGAAATTAAATTAATTTAATGAAATGCCCCATAGGTCGTCAATTAAATTAATTTTAAAATAGTATTTAATGTCACGTATTGTTTCTGTTTTGATAAWGATTTTATCTAAAACAAAGAATATTCACATTTTATTTATTTTTCCTAATTAATTGGTATAAAACATTGTGATTATTTTTATGTGAATCAGGAAAAAACATATAAATATGTATATTTAACATAAGTTGAACGTAAGGCTTCTCATTAAAAAATCAAAAGTTAAATCTAAATTGTTTTAATTGTATAAGTAGTAATCTGGTATTTTAATCTGGCTCACGTTAAAACTATCAACATTTATATACCTAAGTAAGTACCTATATGTGTTATTGTAATTTTAAAAGTATAAGATAACCAATATAAATTTTTCTCTTTCAAAATGCAACTATAATCATGCTCGTAAATATTATAAAATCATACCTAATATTTATTTACTAGTAAACTCTTTAACAAAATATTCGCAAATTGAAGTTGTAAAGACTACAGTAGTGAAATGCATATAAATGTATATTCCACAGTAAGATAATAAATAATAATGTTGTTCTTCAATAACCCTGTTTTCTTTTTATTAAAAAGTATTTTTTTCAAAAATTTGAAACTAAATTATAGCATAGCGATACGAAAACTACCTACTTATTGAAATATAATTAGGTTTATATTTTCTTAACAATATTATAAAAAATGAGGAAWACAAAATGAATAAAAAATATTTCTACCTCGGTGTTGTGCGCTGCACACTTGCACGCTTACACTAAATACAATCTGTTTTTGTATTGTAATCTTGTTAAACGTAATTAATTTCAATTATAAACTATTACAGTARRACTCCCCACGATTGTCTAAAAAATTAWACAGATACATTACTCGGTTATTTTAAAACAYAATATTATCTTAATTTTTTCAGACTAATAATAATGCATATTATTGGTTTGATAAATATTGCTAATAATTATGCTTCATACTAACCCTTTGATTCTCTTTTAACATAATATAAT